ATTTTACTTTTATTTATATATCCTTTTCCTTTTGCCATATATTTACTGCTTATGTTTTCATGTGAACTAAACAGATATTCGTTTATATTGTATTTTACAATAAATTTATTATTATTATTCTATTACATGGTTACATCTCTATGATTTTATTGTAATCTTTCAATTAGGATCATTACTGTGGAATATTTATCAAATTTGGAAACGTCCTAAAACTTATTGGTTAGCCAGGAATATTTGAGGGTGAGGAGTTGCGGGCCCTGGGCGTCTTGCGTCCAGGTCGACTGATAAGCTCGCAGCGCGTTCGACGGTATTTCAGCGCCGCTTTTCGAGGCTTGATTTCGCCCGAAGATGAGAGGAGATTGGAAATTCCATTCTGTCGCGTTTCGGTTTCAACGGCGTGTACCTCCGGATGAAAGGCATACCGTACGTTCAGTTTCGTTTGCTGTTTACGAGTGCACGATGCGTTCCTTTAATATTGAGAAATTTCGTCCTACATTGGACTATATTTTTGTTAAATTCTTCATGTTAAATTCTGTATACGTTCTGTTGTTTTAATTCAGATAAAAGGGAGCTGACCTTGATGAAATATGTATAGCTTGGGTGGAATGATTAAATTCTGTGGGGAGAAATATCTAATGTAACGAAATTTGTAAAAGCGTTCGTAAAAATCTTGTCAATGTGCTAAAATATCCAGAGGCGACTTCGTTTGATGCCTCTGTCCTTTAAGCAGGAAATATTCCACGGGTGCTGAATGAATTGAATACTTTCGCACCCATTTTTAGTAGAAAAAGTTTGAGCTCCATTGATCAACCATTCTAATCGGTTACTTGCTAAAGAGAAACTTTTGTCCGCATGAAATAAAGGAGTTATCGTATACAAATTGCCAGCCACGTATCACATAACGGTACACGTAACACCCTGTGCCGCGGGCGACACAGGATAAAAAAACAAACGTTTGCCGAGAATTTCCCGGTAAAAAAGCGACAAGGGCGACTGAGTTCGCATCCGTTTTTACATTTGTTTCCTTTTTTGGTAAAATGCAGACTGTCGTTCTATCTAAAAGCGTTCGGATTGGTTCTAAAACCGTTTTACCTCGAAGATTCGATAGTGTTTCATAGCGACACTTTATATGAGGCTTCTTAACTGTCCCGTAAGCTATTATTCGTTAATACTCTCCATTTAGTGATCGACCTCGCTCCTGTGAGTACTTATACTACTTAGAGGAAGCAACTAAGCCACGCTCGTAACATTAGTCTTCGCCACTTAAGTCTTCTTCGAGGTTGATGAAAACACAATGCAAGATGGAAGTCGAATTGTCAAATAAAGATTTCTGTCAAAATTGTTTGCTTTTTGATTATTTTATTTATCAAATGTAAACGTCTTGATACCATCTTAAATCGTGACGCAGTTTTTGCGTTTATAGAAAAGATGTCTACATTCCCTAAAACATTTGATTTATAAAAGTTTATTATAAATTTTAATATCACCGAATATTGCCTCTTTATTATATGTATTTTCAAATTCAACTGGATAAGATCTGATCTTAATGTGACTTACTAGTACCAAGCAAATCTGAAGTTCTATTTAAGAAAACGAAACGGTTTAGAAAGCGAAAGAACTGTGAATTTCAGAGGAATTATTAGTACTTGGTTTCTGTTATGGCGAAAGTTTAAAATGACCAGAATTATATTAAGATCGTACAATTCCGTCTCGTTTGGGGAAATTCTGTCTTCCGACTTCACCTGGCATTGGCATCTGGGAAATTCTTCCAGGAATTCACTACGGCGACTAGCAAACCGCGATCGAAATTTTATCTCATCGTAATTCCTCAAGCTGACAACTTCTCTCTCTCTCTCTCTCTCTCTCTCGCTTTCTCTCTCTCTCCCGCTCGATTCGCCTCGCATTGCGAGGGATCGCGACAAATACACGCCGGTCCTATTTTACGAGGTTTGCACATATTGTACACGGTTTCGTTATTGTACTATTTTTTTTGTAACTGTATAGAAGTCGATTTGTAGACCGTCGGCCATCGTACGGTATTTTCCTCTTTCGCAGAAGTGGAATATTTAAAGTTTCATTTGAAAACAAGTGCGCGCACACGTAGTTATCTATAATGCAAAACAAGAACCAGTTCCCCTACAAGTTGTTGTCTATTTGCGTTCACTGTTTATGCGTGTTTACCCGCGCGTGCGATCCGGAAATTGATGGATACGCGCCCAGGCTTTTTCACGTTTTATTGCTTTAATCGGGATAAAAGTTCGTGGGAGAGAAAATTTAGTTACGGCGACAGAGAATAATTATTCGGTGATGGATCGAGGTGAAAATTTAACAAAGAGATGGAGCGTTATACAGTCATTAATTACCCGGGAGATACAAGGAGCATGGGTCAATCGGCGATGATAACGGATCATAAATTTCGCAATTAAAACGGTAGTAGACCAAGGTCAGTCGTGGATGTATTCATTGAAATTTCATTATCACGTTTCACTACCCGCAGCAGAAAAAAATTTAGAGCAAGCATTGTGCGTGTCGGAGAAAACCTCCACTTCGTCTGCTTTATTTCACGCTATTCTACTTGCCTATCTTAATTTACTATACGATGCACGCTTGTTTATGAATTCATGTTTGCAACATCAACTCATTTGCATCATTAGCGTAAACTCGCGGCTGATTTAGCTGGTGATTATCATCAGCGCACGTATTTGTCCCGCAGGGGAAATCGAAAATTTAGTGCCACGTTTATTATTTCCGTTCTGAAATTTGTTAGAAAATTCTTTAGAAATGGTTACAATTTATATTCCTTACTCGAAACCCATTTACTTTTTGAAAAATTGAAGATTGTCGCGTTTGGTTGAATCGGTCGAGTAGTAGAGGTCCGTACGCGGTCGAGCGTGACGGGTCGCAAGGAATCGGGTCAAAAGCGGAGCGCAAAAGGAAATCCGGTCGTTCTCTGGAAAATGGATCGCCGATATTTGCCGACGTCGACTTTTTCCGGTGGACAGCGGCCGGGAAAACAAGTCGCTTCGATTTTTCGCTGTGTCCGAGTGTTACCGTCGAAAAACAATCGCCAAGAACCTTTTTTCCTAACGGAGACACGGCGAAGGGTTTCCCAATCCGAAAAGGGTAGCGAAAAGTAAACTTGCAGGTCTCCATCTTTTCGGAATGTAAATACCGGAGGGCCGCCCGGACAGGGAGAAAAAATAGTAGAATATACGAGTCGAAAAAACACATTTGGCTGGAGCAACAGTTTGCAAAAGTAACAGAGGACAGGTGAGCCGGGGAATATGCGCGTGGGCTGTCGGATGAGTTACTACTTACTTGGATAAAATGTAACGCGACTACGAAACCCGTTTGATCCGTGCGGACACAAAATTGGAAAACTTCCGACGAGCTGGTAAAATTGAATGAACATCCGTGGCCTGGTCGTTGCATCCGTGTGTACATATAACTGAGGTAAGAGTAACTTCAATCTCATCGAAGTTGGGTGTTACAAACATTAGACGCTGCCCCTCTGGAGCTTGGACAACGAAGATGAACAGCCGACGTGAAGTTTAAACTTGAACTCGTTTCAAACATAACGGAGTTGATATAAAAATAAAGTAAATGTCTCAATTCCGGTATAAAAATTGGGATAATTTTTTGTAATCGTCCTTTTACGAAGCTCAAAACATTGGAACGAATCTCACGATTCAGATAAGAAGAAAACGTGTTTATTGATAAGAACACGTTTCGGGGCCGAGGCCGAAGTTTGATTAGTTCGTGTAGGTAAATGGAGAGTGGTCGCGTCAAAACCGGGACGCGGGCTGAATTTCGTCCCGACACAAACTGTGACCCCGGTTTACTCATACCGTGCATCGCGTTTCCGGAGACGATCGAACGAAAAATCCGGGTGGAGTATATACACGTAACCGTTCGTATACATTATTTAGGGGGAAGGGTTTATGGAAGGTAACCTAGGCTAGAAATATTATCGTAGAAACGAGATAGGGCTCGATAGATCCACTCTATCGTGCACCGATAAATGATACGTTTATTTACATGGAAATGACGGTAATATTTGTTTGCTCCCCTTTTACGAAGATCGCGAGGCCTCATCTAAATTCGGGGTAAACAGCACTCAGCCCTGTACATTAAGAATTTCCCTGGCAACTGATCTCAACGATTGAATATTATACTTCCGGGTATATAAAAAAATATTCGAAAATTAGTAACGGTGAAAGAAAATAAGAAAGAAACACCAGCGTGAAATCGTACTAAACTAGTTCAACAGGCTCTAAGGGGCTAGACTCCAATAGCAGCGGGATAAGGTAGAATGCCAATGTTATGCACTACCTTAAACTAAACATTACAACGAATTTTATCTGAATTCACCGAGAAATAAAAATATAAAGTCGAACAGAGTAAATTGCACTTATTTTTCCTGGTTATTGATAGAAGAGAGCAAAAAGACGTCAGGAATTTATGTAATATATAATTTATGAAATTTATATAAATGTCACATAAGAACTTTTACGAAAGGTTAATGATCTAGATCATCATCAAGAATCATATTCGCGAAATCAAAACGGAGAGGATCGGAAGTTATTCAAACGGCTCTAAATATCAATGGCTGCCCCGAAATCACTATACTAGGCCATGTACAGTATCCTCAGAGACCTGCTCGATGGACATAAGCACATCTAGAGTAAATATTCGTGAAACATGCTGTGATGAAATAGCCGTGGTAATTAACGATAGATAGGAGTGGGCGCGAGTGACTGCGCGTCCTCCCAAAGGATACGACGCGACAGGAGCAGGAGCAGAAGCATTGACCCTTTCAGTTCAGGTGCAGCGTCAGGTGCAACGCGAGTGAATCAGGTACGGTGGACCGCGGGACAGAGAGGGGTGCAGCTAGCTGCAGTCTGAAATACGGTGAACGCGCATCGGTGGGGGAGTGCAGGTGGAAGAGAAGGTCGGAAGGTTAACAGAGCGCAGACGCCGACTAAAAGCATCGAGGATAGCGCCCGGCACGGCACTGGAGTACCGGACAGAGCTAGCTCGTCCGCAACAGCGTGTTCGTCTGGCAGCGAGTTGGGCCACTCACCAAGGGAACCACGAGCCACGTTCACCTGAACGTACGTCGACGCAAGCGTGTACCTATTCATAAACGCACGTCGGAGATTTTCAAACACGTCGCGAGCAGCATCGAACGGGGTCGAAATCGCGAGTTGCCGGCGAAGGACAGCTTCCCGCGCTACGAGTCCGACTCGATTTTCACCTGTTAACCGCAGCTCACTTCTTCCATAGGCCTGTGCTCAGGTAAGTGAAGTGAACGACAGTGTTTGAATACTAAGAAATTTTGAAAAATTAATGTAGATTTAGAAATAATTGTTTACGAATTTCATTCAAAATATAAAATCGTGTTTGGTATTCTCAAGAGAAATGTTTATTCAGTGGCAGCTAATTGTAGATGCATGTACAGTACATGTCTCAATTTCTGCTCACGTTACAATTTTCACTCACTGGCTAAAATTACAGAAAGAAAAACCAGTGAGCAGAAACTGAAACATTTACTATACTATAATTTTTATTAAATTGCATCTTCAAATAGTGGAAGAAAGCAGCAGCATACTAAGATACGATCAAAATTACGCAAACATTCCCAAATTTCAAATTTACTACAGCAAAGACATTACGTTATACGCATTAGACTTTGTAGTGGGATAAAGGTCTTTAATTTATTACGTCGACAACGTGTCGTGATGTATGTACCCGCATACGGGGGAGTAAAGAGAGACTCGGTGTCTTTGACCGGGGCGGACTGAGTGGTGAAAACTTTTCGGAAATTCCTCAAGGCTATATGCGAATTGCCCAAACGTCACAGTTTCATGGAATATTAACTCTGGCGCTGGGAGCTGGTACGAATCTCAATGAAACTCGAGACTACCACGCTTTACGCGATATTCTGCTTCATTGAATTTCACCCTCGGAACACGTTTTCCTCGTTTAAAGCTATTAATTTTCATAGAGATTGTGGCTCGTTGGTTCGATTACCGGCGCGCATCGGGAGCAGTTTGCTAGGCCGGAGAACGGCCACGAGTCTCTACGATGCGATATTAATGCTATTCTACCGCCACGGATGATGCATTCTGGAACATTATCCGGCTGCGTTTCAACAGGAAACAAGCCTCTAATCTTCCTACGCAGATTTTCACCAGATACTCGCACAACTGTGTCGATATCCAATCTGAATTTCAATTATCCACCGTTACGTCGCAGTAGACGAAGTTCCACGCCTCATCGGCGGTTCAATTTCGAAACAATTTCGTCTCGTCGTTTCTAAAACTTGTTCTCAATTTATTCTCGCGGGTGAAAAGCGACGAAAGGGAGACGCGGCCCCGCTTTCGTCTACCCAGAGACGAAATTAATGTAAGACGGAGAAACTCGATAAACAACGACTACGCAGCGAAGTTTACAGGTGCGTTTGTTCGAGTTCCTGCGAGCCAGTTAGTTTAATAACGACTTCTGTTTATCGCCTCCCGGGCAGCAGCAAATTTCACCGTTATTAAACTCAATGCTTGCCAGTTCATACAAAGAATCCGCCCTCTTACCATTACTAGACTCGCTTTTCGGAGGCGGGTAATTCCCTTTTCGACGACGATTTTCCAACAGCAAAGCTTCTCTACCGCACGGTTTCTCGATACACGGACTGAGTACAGCTTTTGGGCACGTACGCGTCGACGTTTCCTCATTTCCCTCCGGTCTTATCTGGGCAACTGTTCTGTCAGGTGTCGGAAATGGCATCGTAGATTGCGCCATTTACCAAAGTCACGAGGACTCGCAGCTTCCGCGAACGATGCGCCGCACGCGCGCTATTTTTAACGAATTACGCTCCAATGTATAAATCGTCAATTAACAAAACGTCGAATCCAATTAGATGAAAAAAAAACTGTGTTCGTAGACTAAATTGATACAATCTAATTTAATGATTTTATTAAAACTCGATAGAATTCTGTTATCAATACATTCATTCCTGTACTTCAACTACGTAGTAGTATGAACAGAAATAAAATGACAGACCAAACTCTCGATCTCAGAATTAACAAATATTGATTAGATCTCGTGTAGCAATGAGCGTTTTAAAAGCATTAAAGTATAATAAATAAAGTAAATCTTGCCACATGTAAATTATCCTGTAATATTATTAGGATAATTGTTAAACGCGAAAACATGTTATATAGCAAAGTTATATAACTCGTTAGTAATGCGAGAAGCCAAATGTTATATAGCATAATGTAATATAACATTTATTCTGTTATGTAGCAGATTATATGCTACCGTAACACAGTCATAAAACATTCTGTATCTCATTATTCTTAATGACGTGAAACATTCAGGATGTAATTTTGGCAGTAACTAGTACGTAATTTCATTGGAAGAACCGTCGTAAGTCTAAGCGAAAATTCTCTAATAATTTTAAATTCTTCTATCAAAATTCATAAGGAACGACCAGTATATATTTTTCAGCATACGATTGTTAATTTCAAAATAATAAGTTTACATACCCGGCTATCCACCAGTGAGAATATCGTTTCGTGGAATCGATAGCCATTCCTTTATTTTAACTTTGATTTCAAGCTTTCTTGGTTCGCAAGTGTGGCAGGGTCTGACCGCGAACCTTGTGGAGAAAAAGGGACGACCTCGGAATGCTATTTCGTTAACGGGTAGAACACACGCTGGATGCGCGCCACGTGTTGCAGTAAACCTTCGCCGGACCTCGCGCGATTAAAACGAACGTACCTTTAATGGACTTGTTACTCGTACCTCTTATTCTGATATAAAAACTCAAATAGTTGCTTCGTTTTTTATTCTTTAAATTCTCCGTGCATCGTCCTTATTAAATTTTCCTCGGTATTTTAATAAACAGACTGATTAAATTTTCTTATAATATTTCTCGTGGAAACAATTTTCAGTAGAACTTCTTGCGAAACAAATGGGTTTGTTGTTTCCGTTGAGCATTCACATTTATTTTTAAAGAGAGGTGCATATTCAATTTCCAGGTATAAAAATAAAATAGCAATTCAACATTCAGAGACACAGCAATTGTAGTCTTGGAATTATCTAAAGTGATTAAAAGCGTGAGGTGGCCCGAAACCGTCCACCTAATTCGACTAAGACGTACTAATTGGTCGCCACAAAGTTAAACGAACTCTGGAAATGGAAACCACCGTCCATTCGGAGTCGTCTGCATAGAAACACAACCGAATACCCAGGCCGGGAAGTTCCCTCGCGATCATCGCGGCGAACGGCCATTATCTCTTGGCCGGAACTCGAAACAAGTTCCCGAGGTCGACAAATAGACTGTGGAACTAGATAATAGGTTTTCCGGTATTCTTATTCTAATTACATTTGCCTTATCTCTCGAAACCTCCGACGTCATGACAGTCGACTTCCAACCAAGTTCCATCTCTATTTTTCGACGTACGTTCCGCGTAAACACACTGCTGCTCAATGACGCGGTAACATCGGCGTTGTTCATTTGTCCATCCGTCGAATTAATTAGTTCCCGGCTTAAGCACGCCCACGCTTAAGCAGCGCGTATTCCCACTTGGCCGCGTCACCTCGCGCAACTTACCTGTGGAAACCGTGTTTCTCTTTGTCCGTTTCCAGTGAGTTCTGCGCCACTTCAACAGTGGATTTTATCCCCTTTCGCGTAACAACGACGCCCGCACTGAATAACTTCCCCTGACTAGAGATACTTGTCCCGCCACCGAGCGTGCATGAGCACGCGGCTAGAGAACGTGTCGTACAAGCTTTCAACCGCATACTTCGCAGTCATAATTCGCCATTGCCGTGCAACCGTGTCGACAATTGACCTCCATCGCTCTTCCCTTTCCTCCGGGAAGCACACCGATGAGACGAACCGCGAACAATTTAATTTGAGAGCTGCCACTGTTGAAAATAACATTTAATCGTGTCGAAGTTCTACTTTTCGGAAAATCGAATCTCTTTATACCCAGCGATTGTGAATAAAAATTGACCCGCGAATTTTTCGCGTTTATAAACGCAGCAGGCAATAGATATTGCAGTGCTTATATCAAAAAATTGAAATACAGTTTTCAAATAGACTGCCATACCATTTCGTATAAAAACCAATCTATGAAAATGTTTGCAATAAATCTCCAATCTAGCGTTTAATGATTGCATATGAATCAAAATAATATTCGTTGGGATTCGATATCCCTGTCCTCATATTAAATTATTTGATGCGCAGCGGGATAATTATGATATGAAATCGTTTAGCGTAAGAGTATTAATTGGATCGAGTTGGCTAATAGACGTATCCGTGGTTTTGCGTGAGACATCTGTTGCGTCTGCCCTATAATGATCGCGGTACATTATAACCAGGTTTAGGCTGGGTCAGATAACGTCATTCAGTCGCGCAGCTCATAGCGATGACCGTTTCGACAAATCACGTTTGCAATACGCGTACAACTGTTGGGGTAGCTGCTGATACTATCCAGCGTGAATCGCATATAGAAGGAAGCTATATTTGCAACGCACTTTGTAACGCGATATCCATTCTATGAATTTTGATCGCGTTACATGGATGTACTAGATCAACAAAGGTGAATCCAATGTGCAGTTATACAGGGTGTCTCATTGATTTTGACATTTTGGTTTGTTCGCTATTGTTATAGCCAAAGAAATTTTAGTGGAGGCTTGAATGGAATCGAGTGGGATTCCTTTTGTTTTATTAATTTTTCGTGAGTGGATGTGTAAAGATCATATATAGGTCAACTTTGTTTTTCTAAATAAAACAAGGTATTTTTTAATGAACGTAGCTGGACATTCTTTATATAAAAGTACTTAGCTATGTATATCGATAAGCTTATAAGATATTTCAATTTGAATATCCTTCATTCTAAGGCATCATTACTGTCATACTAGTAAGGAAAGATTTTGAACAGTCAGAATTCGATTTTAATGAAATCTAGCAGGTTTCAAGAACAGTTAAAATTATTGGGATTGAGACACCCTGTATATTAAGACAAAACTCTTAAAACTCTGGATGAATCGTGTTCTGTTTTCTTTTATTAAGTATATGCCATGAGAGCAGCCCTACAAATCACTGAAAATGAAAGAGTAAACAAATGTATCATTCCCACGGGCTCTATAAATATTATTGACAGCTTGATACATCAGTAAACCAATAATTCAAGAAATCTTAAACAGGCTAAGTTCAATGAAGGAAAATAACACAGAAATCGTTTTGGCATGGATCCCATCTAATGTAGGCATTACAGGCAACGAAACTG